TATAATCATAACTTTGTATCCAAATTGTACGTTAAATACAACTTTGACTTTTTTCATAGCGAAAATAAGTAAAGTACGACTGACCGAATTTCCTTCCGTTGAAGACAGTTTGTCTGTAGGTACATTCGTCGAAGCTATGTCGTCATCGCTCGCGCATTCGCCCGCCTCCAACGAAGTTAACTAAACTAGGTTTCATTATTGATCGCGTCTGGAATTTCATACTGTACAAATACTTCCACGAATTTCTGATTATTATTATTTGTTTCATTTCATTCTGTGACGTTCGCTTTCTACACTTATCTGTACTACCTATGTTATTTTTACTGTATTCCATCAAATTTACAAATACACATAAATTAAATATTTATGTAAATATAAATTACCATATGGACCTATTTTTTCGCATCTAAATCGCGTAGGTACGTATGTTTGTTTTTTCTAACAAACCTACGCTTCGGTCCCTTTACACGTCCCATGGTCACGGCTGACCATGGTTGCAGGCCCTGGTTTGTTTGAAAAACAAATATAGGTATCTACCTACGCGATTTACAGCTTAAAAAATTGTTGCATTTCCTATGTGCAACCACCTAAGAACTCGATAATAACACTTGTTAGCCCCAAACCCAAGAGCTCGATAAAAAGACTTGTTAATTTTTATTTTTCACAAAATTTATGGTTTTCTGTTGCTTAGAAGAGATTAATATAAGTACAATACGTGTCTGATGATTATGTGACTCGTAAACGCTAATCCGGAAACGTAATTTGGAGCGAATCACGAGTTTTACATTGCCAACATGACTCGTTTCGAGGGGGCCGTATAATTAGTGATTCATGAATAACGGCGAACACATACTTCCATCAACATTATTATGTCGAAATTGAAGTGCAGCTATTTTCATTTTTCATCTTTGATTACTTTTATCGTTTTATCATTATCAGGAATCTTATCGATTCACTAAAACTTAAGAATTCCAGTGAAACCGGTGAAATATATGAATTTTCACCGTAGGTGTTTAGAACATGAAGTACTGCACCGTTCACTAGCGCTAAAGTACTTTATATATTTAAGGCACATGCAACCATAACGTTAAGTTGATTTGCAAGGTTTCGGTGCACTAAAGAATCCACTGATATTTCATTGCCATGCCAATGGGAGCGCGACCAGCACTTTCGCTGCAGCTCTCTAGTCTGGTGGTTGATAGATAGAATTTTTAAAACGATTTACTTGAGAAAAATGGTGTGTTGGGTTATTAGCTTTCCCGTTAATTCGTATAATGGATATAATAAATTGTTTAAATACAATGAATAAAATAACAAAAAGAAATGAGAGACATAAATTTTGCAAATTATGAGGCGCTTTGTTATATTGTAACGTGGGCACCGCGTGTCGACTCATTTTTCACCGTGACACTTGCTGTAGCTGCAAACTGCACCCGCTACATCTTTTCGAAAAACGACGAATTGAAGTGAGTCTGTAATTTTAGAATATCCTCACCAATGCGATGAAAATGTATATCTAATCTAAGTGCTGTAATTTGATAATGTGTAATATTAGGCCAACAGACAGAATCAATTGAGTAGTCCTCCGGTTGTTACAACCTGATGTATGTACATATTTTTCTATTTCGGTTAATGCATGCGACCAGTTAACGTCCGCCGCGGCGGCCGAAGCGTAGGGACGTACCTCCATGTATATTTAATTGCGCTCAGGGCATTGTTCATGCGTCCGCTGTGACATCATTACATGTGCTATTGAGACGCGTCTGAGCAGAATCCATTGGATTCATACTCAGTCATCTCATAGTCATACCGACCCATTTGCCGCTTGATGATAGTTCCATTATGTGCAAGTCACGACTCGCGATGCACCCTTGGAATTGGTCCATTCTTTGTTATTTACTATGTATTGTATATCGAGCTCGCACTAAGAGCGAACTAGAATCTTCATTCACCGCTTAGAAAAGTAACGTTTTAGCATGAAATATCAAGTAATAAATAAATTTTGCTACACGCTACTCTTTTGCATACGCCTGAAAGGGTGATTGATGATTTGTCAAGTGTTAAGCATTAGAAATTTATTGTATAAGCAGTGACGGCAAAACTTTAAACGATCAATAGAATAATTGACCCGTACCTTTATGAAGGAAAATACAGCCAACAAACAATTGAACGTGAGTCACATATTCATACATACAACAAGTATAACATCGGGTGCTCGGAAGTGGCAATGTGAGCCGAAAATTAGAAATTTATTGTACAAAGCAGTTCTTAAGTGACTACGACAAAACTAAACGATTAATAAAATAGTTGACCCATACCTTTATGGAGAAAATTAGACCCTACACACAATAATACGTGAGTCAGTTCATTTATACATTACAGCCAGAATGACATCGGTTGCTCGGAAGTGGCGATGTGGACCGCCGCGCGCGCTGAATAATGACACACGTGCATTACGGTCAAAGACTGCGCATCTAGAGCGTTATCCATTTACAGTTTGCAATTTAGATGTGTACGTTGCAATAGAAAATATTCATTATTTCATTGCCAAATAACAGTTTTCATTTTGCTACATCGTCCTCGTTATCTACCAAATACGCGTTCTTCCGGAAAAAAAAGATTAAATGCAATGAGCATATTAATTTAGTTTCTTTAGTTTAGCGGTATTGGTAATATTATGTAAAAAAACAATATACACAACTTATATATGAATAATTTTATTTGTACGTACCGTTATAAGAGTACGTGACGGTATAGTGTGGCATTCTTTCCATCGTTGGCCTACAATAATAATCGGCTCGAAGGTAACGCTCAGTGCGCTTGCGACAGACGTGCAAAGAATAAAAAGCGAGAACGTGAATGAATGCGTGTAAATCGCCGCACCATCAAAACTTTTACGTATATGATTACCTTAGGTATTTACTTTTTGTAGCATTCACGTAACTGTAATAGCCAGATTATTACAACAGACATGTAATCATGATATCATTAACTTCTCTTCGACAGTGCGGTCTACAACTGATGTCTGTGGTACACAATTAAGGAAAACAAATAGGAAAATGTAACGGTATTCTTTGGTTTAGTATCCTTTATTGAAAATAACGAGTCTTGGGGATAGGTACAGAGCACGTCAAGCTTGACACTTTGTACCTTGGACCGTTCTTGTCGCAAGCGACATAGAGTTGGATTTAAGTCTTAAGTGTCAAGCTTGACGTGCTGTTGACCCTGTACCTAGATCTCGGCGTACATAACTCCATCAGATTGGGAATGTCCTTAAAAAAGGCTTGGTTGAAAGTACCATGAATAAACAATATTTGAAGAGACTTGGGAGTGGAGGACGCGAAGGAGTTTAGTCAGGAGCGTAGCAGGTTTAGGTGCATGATCTCTGCCTACCCCGGTGGCAGACAAGCGTTATGATGTGTATATATATATATATATATATATACTATATATATACACATCATATATATATATATTGAAAATCGTGTAAAATAATAAATTGTACAGTTTCTCTGGATGAACAGGGAAGTTGCGCCCGGCGCAAATTGCACTCGTCCAAGTGTCGCGATGTAAGCGGATGCACATCCTCCTTACAACGAGGATACGGGTATCATGGAGTCTTCGCCTTGAATTATGCCATTCATGTTGTTGGCGATTTCGTCTGGGAGACAAACAATCTAGTCACTTGTGAAGTTTCTAGCACACATTTCGAATTAATATATCCGTTTGTATGCGGCTAAATAAGTGTATCTAATAAAAAACTCATGTGTTTGTGGTCAATAGGTACCTCGTTGCGTGCACGACGTCATGCATTGTGTTATAATATAAGCATCGATCGATCATTGTACAGATGGCGTACGAACTGTCGCTCCCATTTGCTACACTTTCACTCTACGCCACAAGTTTATATTAATACGCCTTGTACCTAACAATAGGTTATTCTGTTTTTATCATTATTAAATCCTGCTATTCATAAGCATACGTCAAGAGTATTATTAATTTTAGTTTGGACCTCTTGTGTTTTATAATTTTCTCCTTTAACGACACTTGATATGACGCAAATTGAATGGCAGATCACAATTGTTATATAAATGGATATGGGTCGCCATGCAAATTGTTATGAATAGTTAATCAGCTCTTGTTGTGACCTAATAAAACGAAACACGATAGCGAACATATGTTTTGAGCTATTGTCATTTTTACCAAAATTAAAATATAATAGTGAGCAGGTAAAGTTGTTTCATATTCTATGATTATTTTACAGAAGGATCTTACTTTTTTAATTACATTGAATAATAACTATAAACCCTATTGAAGCACTCGATTTACTTATACAAAGAAATCTGAAGAAGCGTACCGTGACAATTAGCCTTCAGTTTTTACTCTCCACCGTTATAAAGCAAGTGACCTACATAGAATATCACTAAATTTGTGACTGTTTTGTTATTTTATTTACGAATAATAATAAACGGAAAAGAACAATTGATTCTACGTACAACAAGAGATTCAGATAAAAACAAGTACCCTTACACGCAATGGAGCGAAGAGTGAAATGAATGAGTGACCTTACTGAATGTGATTCAGTAAGATAATGGTAGTAGGTACGCAGCTCGTTGACTGTTATTTATCATGATTTTGTTGCCTTATGACTCCACCGATCAAGGTGCAAGGTGACTGCGAATAACAACGACTTTTTACAACCTATATTAATAATAAACACAGTAATAACAATAGGTTAAGTTATTTCGGATCAATGACTTCACGTTTTTATTGTTTTCTTGATGCATTTTGTTTATATTCTCTTGTTGTCAAAGATATAATTAAAGTCTATAACAATATATAAATATGAATACTCAAATAATTACAATGTTTTTTATTTATGAATATAAATGATTTGTTAAAAAAGCACATCCACTTACGACCAGACGTCATGAAAATAGGCTCTAGCTATTCCTATCACTGATAATAATATAATAAAATACTTATTATCTTGTCTCCTGTTGTATTTGAACCTTTCACAAAGGCACATTGTCTGTTGCCGTAACTGAACCCTTCTACCGTGCAATGAATAGATAACTTATTACAGTAATAACTCATAATTATAGCACATATACCACAGAGTTTTATTTTGTACATATGTGTAATAATATTTACATTTATATACTGCATTATTTAGGTTATTATGACAAATATAGTCTTAATAATACATACTGCCAAAACATATGTGTGGAGTACGAACATGTTGTTGATTATGGAGTGTTTGTTGGAAGTTTATTTTTATAACAAATAATCTGTGTGCTCGCCTACACTCACAACGTTAGCTAAATGCGTTGGCCGTTGGTTGAATTATAAATGAAATCACAGTACAGTCTATTGTTTTCAGTTTCACTACGTTTATCTAGTCAATAATTAATGTACTTGAGTTCAGTCACAGCTTGTAAATAATTATAAGATTACAGCTAGTTTAATGTAGGTACTGTAGGATATTGAATACATATAATATGCATGCAATATAAACATTAATTTACTATGTAATGCACAGGTTTTCATAGTCAACAATGAATTTTCCAGGTGGTGCATTCGAAGGTGTTGAGGATCAAGAATCGCCGTTTGGCTATGGACGTGGAGAAGGTGTCGACGCTGGCCACGGTGACCCTGAATGGATTTGCAGCAAGGAGAAACCTCGCTACGACCAAGTCTTTCAGTCTTTAAACCCTATCGACGGGAAAGTCACCGGCGCTGGTACGCAACATTCCACGCTAGCTCTCGCTCGGTTACTTATTGCACATCCTGACTTGCGGACTACTCTTATCATAGACAAAGCGTTGCAAGCCCTGCTCTTGTCCACACAACATTGCTCTGAACTTACAAAACTTTGTAGAATCCTAAAAAACAATGAAAATATAGCCGAACCCGGAGCAGGAGATTTCGATAAAATTGCAACCGCTTTAGAAAGTTCATCTCAAACTATGAATAAGATAGCTCAATTTATAATTACTAATAGTGTACGCGATGAATGCTTCGATGCTTCGTCTGTATCAATTCACACTTTGAATGATACAGTTGTAGCCGATGCTATTATGCATACTCTTAATGCCGCGAGTACAACTACATTGGGAAGATCGAGCAATCCCGATAAGTACGCCTTTGGTGAAGATTCTGATACGGAATCGTATGGTAGAAATACTCCTTTTAATAACTTGGAGAAGGAGAGCGGTAGCTTTTTTTCACTTCTTCTGTTTTCTATTAAATTTATTTTACTAGTTTTAATTAATATGATAAGCATTTGTATAATTATTCAGTTACTTTTCACAACCGCCGTCTATATTGTAACAGGAGAGCTGTTTTTAGAATTCAAAGCGGAAAAAGTGCCCGAAACTTGGTTAGAGAAAGCAACGGTAGCAGCTTTTGGCTCGGAGGAAGAAATAATACAAATCCGTAATGTGTTTGAAGTATTTTACAAACACAATTTAGTCAAACTTTTACTATGTCTTACCAAATACTTTGACCATAAATTATAAATATTCTTTATTATTAATTTCTTCGGTCTTACACGATAATATTAACCTCTCCACATTTTTTACGATTTTTTAGAATATTTCACTGTTGATGCTTAATTTGTTGAATTTAGTTGCAATATATTTTATACCTATATGTGAATTTGAAAACAGAAAATTGTACGTAAATTTAAGTTCTTAGAGACGCACTTTAAGGTATCGTGAATTTAATCATAGTAAAATATTGTTATGTGATGCCTCCTCAAATAGCTTGAAAAAAAAAGCACAAAGAAAAAGAAAGACCAAGTACAAAGACACGACGCAAGCACATAGAAAAATTCGTGAGGTCGGTTGGTTCGTTCCGTGGCTTAGTTGGTATAGCGTCTGACACGGTATGCAAGAAGACGTCAGTTCGAATCCGACAGGATCGAAGGAATTTTTTCTGAGTGTTTTTTCTGAGTGTTCGATCTTTGTATTAATAATTATAACAAACTAGTGGAGTAATTGCACAAAATATAATTAAATATCAATTCAATAAAAATTTGTTTAAAAAAGCACAATTTATCAGTTGTTTAGAAAAACAGCTTTTCATGCTTGGGTTGCTTTTGTAATTGGTAATAATAATGTCAATTAAATCATAATACACATTATTATTAAGAATTTATCTTCTAGAAGCTTCGAATTTATTATTGGTCAGTAAAGAAATTGTAAAAGCAATAGTTTTAAATTAGAAAAAGAGGGCACAACAGCAGCGCTTTGACCTCATAAATTCTATTTCTATGTAATAATAACAGAACAGTGGAAGTAGACAACTAATCGTTAAGTACTGTGATGCCTAAATGAATAGATTGAATGCATCTTTAAAAGTACAGGATGAACTTAGCCTTTCCGAGACGATATCTGATCCCCTTAAGGTTTGGAACGCTAGTAACATATTATAAATAATTTCAACTCATTTTTTACGTTAAACTTTAGTACTGCCAGTAACAGACATTTGTGACTCTCCTATTGTTCGTTCCCTTTATGGTCAGTCACTCCTGCTGGTTATGCCTAGGTTAGCTCACAAAGATATTTCTTCAACAGCGGCCAAGACAGAGATGGTGAAGTCGAAGCTACCGAACACAGTGTTGGGGAAGATCTGGAAACTTTCCGACATCGACAAGGATGGATACCTCGACGAAGACGAGTTCGCACTCGCCATGCACCTCATCCGGGTCAAAATCGACGGCCACGACCTGCCCTCGGAATTGCCACCACACCTCGTTCCTCCCTCCAAGCGCAATTGAAAATTATCATAACTTAAATCATTGTTATATTGCGTTAGAGCGGCACGTTATATTGCATAGGCATCGTTATTTTTATATTCTTACCTGTGGTGGAAATAAGAAACATTAATTTCTTTCGCATAATACAACGCTAAGCTCTGTTTGCAAATATTTCTGTGATTGCTGTATGTGCATAATAAATGTAAGCTAATAAAAGGCAATGGCTTGCCTACCTGTGTTAGTTAATTGACAAGACAAATTTGCTGAATGTTTAGTAAATTGATGCGACGATAGTTGGTCTACTCGAAGACGGTAATATTTGTCTTGTCAACGTTATAAAACGTGTAATGTCCATAACAGTCGTAAAAGTGTAATTATCCTCAATGTGTCCTTACAGACGAGTCTGGGTTCTCTGAGATTGTTCGGCATATGTTGCTTTTCATGAAGAAACTTTCAGATGGGTGTTTTCTTTCTTGAAATCAACATTGTACTAATACTCGCATACCAAATATTTTTGAGTGTTGCATTTTCATCGAGATATCATTTGGAATTATTTGCAATTTATTGTGTGATAGAGCAGAGGGCGGGTACATACATACATACATATATGTAATACACAATTCACGGAATATTAATTCAATTTAATGTCTATGTGGTGTTCTTGGAAAATTTTATGAAATCGTCTGTGATTGCTTCCTTGCAATAGCAATTTATCAATTAAGAATTGCATGTATTATGGCCGTATCTATGAAATTGCCGTTTTATATAGAGAGAATAGAAAATTTTTTTTTTTAGAAATGTATAAGTGTACTCATTCTATTAATCCAAGTATTGATCATTATTGTCTATGCGCTTTTGCCATTTTAATGAAAGTTCATTGATGATTGTGCTATGAAAATCCTAGGAACGGCAATCAATAAATTGTTTAAAGGCGTTTTTCTCAGCCTCATCGGATTTGAAATTTTTTTGAAGTTATTCAACTTCCGAAAAAGTCAGTTGGAGCAGGGATTGGTGAGTATGATGGATAACATAAGAATTGTTGTCGTGGAGGAGTGAACTAGACCAATTGACAAGTGTCGGTTGTTTGACAGCAAGCTTGTCAATCATCACTCGCAATTGTTCATAGTACACCTCTGCAGTATTTTTTGTGCTAGGTCTCAAGAAGCTGTAATGTCCGATAGGTCGACCGCATGGTACACTCAGAGCAGTTTCTTCCGACTCAATTTGCGTTTGGGGCGTGGTTTGACTGCCTCCCTTGTGGCCAATCAGTACGGCAGACGTTTTTGATTGTCATCTAAGACCTACTTTTTATCACAAGTGACAATCCAATTCAGAATCCCCTCATTTGAGAGCCTATTCATCAAATTAAACCAAGCTTCGACTCGATTTTGTTGTTTGTTCATATGGCACCCACGTTGTTAGCTTTTTTATCTTTCCAATTTGACGCAAAATCAATATCGCTTATGTTGTTTGAGATGAATCTGCTTCCACTATGCCTTTCAATTCATCGTTATCAACTTTAGTATCCGGTCGGCTATGGGGCTCATTCTCGAGATCAAAATTTCTAGAACACAAGCGATCAAATCAAAAACACACTGTGCGCTTACTTGCGCTATCTCGTTCATACATATTGTTGATATTGCTTACCGTCTGTGCAGAACACAGAAATAAGTCACAGAAATAAATAATCAAACAAAAATCGAATGTTCGAAAAACAAATGAATAACTAATTTTTAATAAGAAATATCATAGCTACATTATAACTACAATTTTAATTTGAAAATCTAAGTAAAATGAAATATATCAAACTTTAAACTTCCCAGTTCTTGCAATTGGCAATTTCATAGATAAGGACCTAATATAACAATTATTTTTCTTTGTACAATCATTAAAATGCTTATAACTAAATCAAATATATAATTTATTTCCTTGTTTTTCATATACATAATTATGAACATGTAACTTTAAGTTAGATTCAGAGTATTGGTGCCCTAAAACCTAAGTTAGGAGGTTAATAGCAATTCTTGTCTAATATATATATATAATATAAATAAATAATCATTTTTTCAGTCTATATTATTATTAGCATCCAGCTTTGTTCAACTGGATTTTATGTCCACTGACACAATAATCCACAGCATCATAACTTAAGTTTGCCATTAGGAATGAATTGATGAATTGTAACAGTTGTAATTACAAACACTGTTAATACTTTTCAATTTATTTATAGCTTAGGTTTGAAGGCACTCTCTTAGATTGTAATACATTATTTATTTGGAGTTAAATTGTTTGGTGCTTTGAGATTTTAACTATATCAGTGTTATTGGCAATAATAGCATGTTATCTGGTTAAATTCATTATATTATTACATGCTATTTTTGTAATTATTGTACAGTAAAATATTCAATTATTTGTTCCTATTAGTAAAATCTGGCTACTAATTATAAGTTTCCCCATTGTTGAAATTATAGCTTGGCAAATTTTTTAACATTTTGCATTTGTGTACAAAATAATGTACTGCAGGTAAATTACCAAGACTTAAAACATTTTGTAAGCGTGTGACGAATATTGCATTTAAATGATACACTGTTTTGCTACTTTTGTAAAGAGTATTTAGGACTCACGTTAATTCAATAGCAGACTTAATACCACACAATGGGTAGAACATTTAAAGTTAAGAAATTTAAATCTATGAAACTATAATTAAATTGTAAACTAACTCTGTATATACAGAATGTTAGTCTTTTGAAAGGAATTTAGTGCCTTGTTCATCAATGTAATCTGGTTAGACTATTTGTAAATTCCTGGTATAACAGTACTGATTAAAGACATTGAATAAGAGTCGCCATCTTTGATCAAGGCACTTTACAAGTTTTTACATTTGCTACTGAGTGTACATAAAGATTACATACATAAATTATACAATAGAGTGTAATAAATAGTTAAGAAACCATTTTTGCATATATTTATTTTAAACCTATTTCTCAATGTACTTATAAATACATTTTTATATGTTCTGCACTTTGCAACATCATGTAGACAACAACATTTGTAGTTAAATTTAAATTTTTAGACTTTGCAATATTTTAACATTACTAGTCCCTATATAATAACAAAAACGTGAGAGATGAGACACCACATAAATTTTTAGGAACTTGACTAATATAGAAAAACTGAGAAAGTCCATACCTAGCATAGACCATACTATGCAAGCAGTACAGAGTAAGCTATTGATATAATAAGAACAGACCATACTAAATTGATTCCCTTTTACACTATTTTTTGCTATTCAAAGAAATTTGCCAGTTCGCCATGCTTTGGTTATGGTTTTTTAAAATCAGTGATAATGATGAAAGTAATTACAAAGAAAATGTAAAGAAATATTTGAACCTAAACATAGTAAAGAAAAAGCAAAATAAATTCCAAATGCAAAAATGGGTTATAATAATACTTTATATCTTAGATTATTTATGGGATGGACACATTGTCAATGCTACAAGGAAATAATGCACCCTGTAATAAATATTTTGATGTAAAGAACTATAATGGGACATGTGGCAACCGGCACCCTATGCTATTATTGTGGCAACCGGCACACCACGCTACTATTGTGGTGCATTGTTGCCACCTGGGCCAGGAGGACGTATTTGCCTTCGCAATTGTTCCACCAAATCAGGATTGGCAGCTTGCATGTGCTGAGCTAGAGCCTGCCCAGCTTCTAGCAGTGCACTCATACCCCCAGCACCAGCGCCATTGCCAGTGTTTGCCGATGTGTTACTCATTAGACCAGAGATTAAGTTTTGCATATTGGGATCAGCAAGCATCTCTGTTGCCATATTTAACAATGCAGGATTATGTAGTAGGCCACCTAGATCTAAAGGTCCTGGCTCTCCATGTTGTGCCAGCCGTTCATCTGTGAGACGTAGGTTTTGCTTGTAAGACTCATTGTCAGGCTCTAGTTGCACAGCTCTAGCGTAAGCCGCTCGTGCTTCACGGTGTCTGTCCAATGCCGTAAGTGCCAGTCCAAGCCTTCCATGTGCCTTGCCATAGTCTGGCTGTAAAGCTAACGCGGCTGTGCAGTCTGCGATAGCGGCCTCATGCTCGCCGAGCTTGAAATGTGCGGCGGCTCTGTTGCAAAAATACACAGCGTTAGTTGGGACCAATTCGATAGCGCGTGTATACTTTTCAAGCGCTTCCCGGTGGCGTTCAGCTTTCATTAACTCATTTCCTTCGTTCTTCAATTTTTCGGCCTCCGCGCAATCTGGAGTTTGTTCGGTGCGGCCACGTTGTTGTCTTACTAATTGCTCCAAATCTAGACCTTTAGTTACATCTTCTGGTCCCAATTCAAATGCTGTTTCGATACATTGAATGCCAACCTCAACGCTTTCACGCGAGTCTACACTGAGGGTGTCACTTTCAAGTTGTTTTTTCAAGAAATTTACTATGCTTGCTGCAACGATTTTAACGTCGGACATTTTTATTACGATGTTTTCTCTTTTTATCCAAATCGTCGAAAATTGTAGACAAAATAATTTCTTTTTATTTTTAGCCCCACCACACAATGACAAATATATGAAAATGTATGGAGTGCAAATGTCTGCGCGTTTCTTTTACTCTGTCTTGCCAACCGGACCGGGATGAATAAACCATAGATACATTAAAACGTGATGTTGTGTAATCGATCGATTTTACAAAACATTTGTGTTAATCGAATTGTAAAATACAGGTAACCGAATCGAAATCGAAATCTCCAATAATAATAATCTTGTAGAAGTGTTAAATATGAAATTATGTAACACGATGAAATTGAAAATTAATAATGATCACTCCATTTTTGTATCATCAGTTTTTAAAATAATGTGTATAAAATAAAAAATATTGTCTTTGATCTAATCCATACACCGCGTTTGCACTATCGTGCTGGCTATACACGAATGTTTCGTCGAAACAATCGACGAAACGATCGACGAAACATTCGTGTCGAGTGGTTGAAACGCGTTCACACATTCTTGCGATAGGCGGTGCGAATAGCGATGCGATGCACGACACGCATGTGTGAACGGTCATTTCGCTATTTGCGTCGCGCCTCACATCGCCACTCGTGCGATCGCGTCGTGAGGGTATTTCGAGTACAAGTCATGCCGCGTTCTCACATTCGTGCAATAGGCGATTCGAATAGCGTTGCGATACACGACACGCATGTGTAAACGGTCACTTCGCTATCGCGAAGTTAGGCACAAGTAGCGTCGCGAAGTTAAATACGAGTGGCCACGCGAAGTTACTTTTTTTCTTATTTCCTGGTACTATGGCGTCCAGCCTTTGGCCATATGCAATTTCGATTGATATCATTGTCGTCGCAGTTATTATTGTTGTGGAACTTTAATGTGGGGTTTTGGACATTAATAGGAATTTAAAAACGGGGAAAGGAAATCGCGGAATAAAAATAAAAGCAAACGGAATTTTGGTACGATGATTAACAAGATAGGGTAGGTAGTATATTATAGGTAAATCTAAACAATGAAGAATGGAAATTATGAAATGGAAATGAAATGGTAATAGCTGAAAATAATGTTAAATAGATAAATAATAATCTAAATTTCAATAACATTGTTGTCTGAGCCAATGCATTATAAACAGTTATTCGCAGTGTTGCCACTGTAGCCAGTTTTTAGATTTACGAAATTATTAGATACAAAACAAAATATTTGATAGTTAAATCTTTTAGCTCTTTTAGTAAGAAAAGTACAAAATAGGAAAAAAACGAAAATAAAGCTCGAAGTAGTGGTCTGTCCTTGTCTAACAAGTTGCTAAGGCTAAATAAAATCATCTTAGGTAGTGTGTAGTGTATTAACTTTTTTAATTTTGGTTAAATAAAATTAGCATAAAGGTAACATGCTTTTACTGTAATAATACAAAAAATATATATATCAACAATGAAACCTTCTATTATGAAATAGCATATCAAATAAGTATACTAATTTGAATTATGAAATAATATTAGTAGTTTTGGTCAAACACAAGCGACCACATTTTCTGTAAAAAATAAAAAGTTAATTGTTTTTAACTTTTTATTTTTTAGCCGGCTGAAACATGAATGAAAGAAACGCATTATTATTTTGAAGCCTCTCACTCGGCTCGTTTTATTAACTTAGTGCGCGGTCCAGTTTAATATACAAGGCCGTGATATATACCCCGTTTGAGTGTTGTCCGAGACTTTACAATAACCTTTTGTTGTATACATTTTAATGAAAATGCATTGTATGAATATTTACCAAAATAACATGCCACGAAATACCAAAATACCAATAATTACCATTGATTGTAGTTTGTATACTTTTCTCTCAAAAAAAGCACATCTTTAAAAAAACTCGTGTCCTTTGACTCGTGCTCGAAATACTGCTCACGACGACGCGATCGCACGAGTGGCGATGCGATGCACGACGCGAATAGGGAAGTGAACATTTACACATCCGTGTCGTGCATCGCATCGCCTATCGCACGAATGTGTGAACGCGTTTCAACCTTTCGACACGATTGTTTCGACGATACATTCGTCGAAACAATCGACGATAGTGTAAACGCGGTGTTAGAGCATATAGAACGGGAGGCGCTATTAGCGATATTTGTCGAACAAAACTTTCTGCCACTTTTTGAGGGGGTAGTACTACAAGCAAACAGGTGCACTCAATTGCAAATTGTGTGTCACTATGCCGGCTCTCATTCGTCCAAAGAAGGAAATTCTGAGGAAAACAAATGAAAGTATTCCATACCAAAACTTTATCGGATCCTTAATGTACCTGTCTGTGTTCACTAAACAAACACACAGCAAACAAGCAAACAGGTGCACTCAATTGCAAATTGAGTGTCACTATGCCGGCTCTCATTCGTCCAAAGAAGGAAATTCTGAGGAAAACAAATGAAAGTATTCCATACCAAAACTTGATCGGATCCTTAATGTACCTGTCTGTGTTCACTAAACATTGGATAGCGGTAAAAAGAGTTCTAAGATATCTTCAAAGGAAAAAATCCTATGGAATAAAGCATTCTAAAAACTTCAGTTCCGAAAATCTTGT